ATATATATATACATATATATATATTATTATGCAAGTAAAGAATGTGACAGTGTTTACATGTGCCAAATACAGAATCCCATGGACCAAACATATAACATAAAAGTAAGAGACATAGGCCAAGTAAAGAAAGTGGCAATATTTACATGTGCCAAATATAGACTCACTTGGACAAACAAACATATATACTGATAGCCAACATTACAAGTCCATTCTGATTAGCTCCTGTATTTGCATTCATGTGTCTGTGAGCATGCATGTGTGTGTGTGTGTGTGTGTGTGTGTGAGAGTGTCATTGTGTCTAGAGGTGGGGGAGGAAGCATACAAATGAAATAGTATCTTAAAAGATTAATAACAGATATACTGTAAGTAGTATAACTTTAAAAAAAGAAGAAAAAAGACAACAAATGTTATTAGCAACAATATTAATAATAACCATAATAATAATAATAATAATTTCATTAAGACTGGGAAATGCTCAGAACTATTTGAAATATTATTACATTTTAAAATAACTATTTTTTATTTTAATATACTTTCAAATTTAAAAACCAAACTCCATCATAACTTAAAAATATATATTTTTCCAATTCACAGGGATTTTGCATCTAATGACTAATGACTATTTAGAGCATAAATAAAAAAAATAATAATAATATTCTCTACACTCTTTCAGGCCTAGGAATGTTCATTGTTATTTACAAATTTTTCATGACCACCCTCTATTTATGTGGAAAGAGTATGAAGCTTTCTCTTTGTACTCTGACTTTACCTCTACGTAAAGGAAGAAGCTTGTTCTCCAGGATGTCACGCGCATCAGTTCCTTCATCCATTAGATCCAATTTAGTGATCACACCTATAGTTCTCAAACCTACTCAGAAAAACACTCACACATTGATGCATGATCAGATAAAGTTTTTACAAATCTCTCATCAAGGTATGTCTGCAAATAGGCAATTATTTTAGAACATGTTTTTAGTCATTGCTGGATGATAACCCACCCTGAGGGTCCACCTCCTTGGCAATCTTGAGGGCATCTGAGTTGGCCAGGTCAGAGTTGGCCAGAGACACAGCCAGCAACAAGCAGTTCTCCTTAGTCACAAACTGCATTAGCATATCCCTGATCTGAAACTCAATGTCAGATGTCTGGTCACCTACCGGCACTTTGGTCATTCCAGGCAAGTCCACATGGGTGAGATTCAAAACTGGTAATGAAAACAAGGGGTGACACGATTATATGTGATATTTCACAATGCATGCTTATACGCAACAGAATATTTAGATCTGGTTAAATGGTTAAATAACTCCCTCTGTATGTGCGTGAATGTAAGTACCATGAGGCGAATAGACATGCAAACTGAGAGGGACTGGTGAAATGCCTTTGTTTTGGCCAGTGAGGCGATCTGTTTCTGCCTCAATCTCCTGACGAACCTCATCAAAATCTGTAAACTTCTTCCCTTTGCATTGCAAAAACTCAGCATATTCTGGAAATAAGCCATTAGAAAAGACCATTTTACAAAACTGCTTTTTAGTTTTGCCTTAAAGGAATACTTCACCCAAAAATAAAGGTTTGCTGAAAATTGGAACAAACACATAGCTGTTCACTTCACAAGATGTGAATTAATGGACTGGAGTCTTATGGATTTTTGTGGTGTTTTTTTATCAGCTGTTTTGACTCTCATTCTGACGGCACCCATTCACTGCAGAGGATACATTGGTGAGCAAGTGATGTAATGCTAAATTCCTCCAAATCTTTTCTGATGAATAAACAAACTCATCTATATCTTGGATGGCCTGAGTAAATTTTCAGCAAAATGTAATTTCTGTGTGACCTATTCCTTAAAATCATGCATTTAAAAACTATAAAGATTGGCATCCTTCTAAGGCAAGCACGGTATTTACCAGTAGGGCAGTTGATGAGCTGCAGCACTAGGGGGCGCCGAGTGACAATACCAGAGCCACGAGGCAGAAAATCCCTAAAAAGAACATGAGGCAGCACTCATTGAATCGCATCTGTTTTTATATGCAAAGTATGTCAAAGTGAATATCTAGCATACAAATATTACATATAGACATGTACATTTTCTTTTTTTTAAACCTGAAGAATAAATAAGCAATGCTAAAATGTTTAATAATTTTATAAAGTCATGCTGCTATGTTTAAAACTGCTTTTACAAGTCAAAAAAAAGGTCATACATTTAAATACTGTGAATAAAAACTCCAATGATGACTCTGTTTGTTCACACTAAAACAGCTCATTCTGAAAAACAGATGTACTGACTTAATTAAAAACATGTCAGTGCTAGTGCTGCTCTGGCAATTGATTGCATAACACATTTTTGTGCTTGTTCTAGACTTTAGTAGCATTAGTTCAATTGTATATTTGCAACTAGGCCTTTCTTAGTAATGGGATTTGGAGATATAGGGTTGAAGAACGAGCACTCTAAGGAGTGTGAGAGTGTGCCGTATGAATTCTGGCCATTTGGCAGAAATGCTTCCAACATTAGTGGATATGTTTAGAATAAAAAAACAAACAAACATGTAATTGCATTTCACTACTGACCACCTTTACGGATTTCAAAGACTGGATGGTTTAAAATAGCCTCTAATCTCTCTTTCTTTAGGTAGCTAATATAATTTACATTATTTTTACAGTGCAGTTATGTCATTCATATTGACTGTGCTAACATAATAAAGCAATTATGATGATTATATACAGATATCTTATCATAATAGGTTCTCAAATAATCAGCATCTCTTATCATCCTCTTTAAATCTCCAATTTGTTTGATTAATAAATTAGGCCATAGACTTCTTTTTAATTTTAGGACTGCTGTGAATTAATTAGGTTCAGTAGTTGTCATTTGATATCCATCCACACAGTCCATATTTTGCAGGATATAAGGAAAGCCTACATATAGCGGTACTTCATACCTTACATATTTATTTACATTGAAAAGGGTCTAGAACAGACAAATACTGGGAAAATACTTCTGACAATTTTTTTTATTTATAGAAAAGCAGCAAAAATCTAGTCTTTGTTCACTGTTTGTCATAACAACTACGGCTTGCTGTCCCTATACAAGAGTTAGTTATCTGCAGTAGATCTTTACACTACTTGAATAGGGCACAACATTTTTTTATCCATATTTTTCATAATACAATCACAGTGCATAAAATTGTGGACATGTAGAATAGGTAAGTAAAGCATACACTACCATTCCAGAGTTTGGGGATTGGTAATATTTTTCAAACAACAGAACTCTTTATTGAGGATACTTATACAACTATTTATTTAAATCTCTATTGAGAAAGTGAATAGAAAAAAAAACCAGGACCCATGACCGCTGCAAAAAAAAGCACTGTTGTGCTCTATTTAAAAACAAAAAAGCCTGGAACCAAACATTTCCAAATACCCATGACCAGCTTAATGCTGCACTTCCAATTTATTGACCCACACACACTGTGTCTTATCTGCTCTTGCAGGCTGTTTAATGACATTCATACAGCAGCTGTGATATCCTGCTGCTTTCTGCCGGATTGCACCAACATGTAATTAATTGTCACGTCATCATGGTGATAGGCCACATCAGCATGTGCCTCCGTTTTAAAGGCCATGTCTCATTCACAATGACATCTGTCTAATAAACCATAATGGTCAGCGTGGATGAGCTCATGTTCGTTCAGCTGATTCACAAGTCCAAAGAACAGTTTGTCAGCATGCCATGGAAATTATTTAAGAATGAAAGAAACATCAGCTAAGATATTTTAAAGAATGTCTCAACTGTTTTGTCCATACAAATATGGGGTCCAAAAAAAAAGTGGACCAAATATATATATATATATTTGGTCCACTTTTTTTTTGGACCCCATATTTAAAATAAAAAAATATATATTTTTTATAAAAATGCCATTTTCTTTCTTAAAGGGACAGTTCACTCAAAAATCACAATTCTGTCATCATTTACTCACCCTCAAGTTTTTCCAAATATGCATGAATTTTCTCACAAAAAAAAGATATTTTAAAGAATATTGGTAACCAAATAGTTTCTGGTCCCCATCGACTTCCATAGTATTTTTTTTTCCATAATATGGAAGTCAGTGGAGACCTATTGACTCAATGTGGGAGACTTTGGTTACACACATTGTTCAAAACTTAAGGCTAAATGATGATGACAGAATATTCATTTATAGGTGAAGTATTCCTTTAAATATCACTTCTTCACTCTCATATCATCTCAAACCTTTGAAATATCTTACAAATATCTCGATTTCAAAGGTTTAAAACAACTCGAGGGTGAGTAAATGATATTTAAAGGGATACTTCACCCAAAAATTTAAATTCTGTCATCAATCAAATGATTTTCGGGTGAACTGTCCCTTTAAGGGCCACATATGTAGTATTACAGTTGTGAAAACTGTAAATCTAGCAAGGCAACACACCACATTTCATGCCAAACAGTGGTCCTCGTACAGCATTGTGAAGTCTGTCCTTGTTAGACCTGTCACGATAACAACTTTTTGTTGTGCGATATATTCCCCCAGAAATAATTGCGATAAGCGATATTATTGTCATTTTAAAGACCATTTTATGCCACTGAATATATAATCAATATAACAGCATAATAATGCACGAAGGCCTACACACTTCCAAATGACAAAAAAAATAAATATTTTTAAGAATATCTAGATCATGGAAATTAAGTATCAAAATATTAGATACCTTAAAAAATCTAAATACACAGTAAATAAACATTTTCTAGCAAAAAGTGCAAAGTAACGAGTAAAAAAAAGAAAAATGCTCAAAGAACTTGTATGAAGATTTTTCCATCTACAGATTTTTCCCCAACCTTCTTTTCTCTGTAAATTAAGGGTGCACACTATTGCTAAAAAACACAATCACTACTTAGCAGTCAGATGTCCGTACGCACAAAGGCACAGCTCCCTATACAAGGCCATATCTGCAGATGAAACTTTTTTTTTAGAAGCATTTTTTTTTTAATTTGAACTAGCACCTCGTGACTACACCACCTTTTGTACGAGAAGTTGCAAAAGACACAGGCGCAAGTGGAGTGTACAAAACATGGTGACATTAATTTTTAAGTAAATATAATGGGCGATATTGCGTCATCAAAATTTATTGAGGTCATGTACTGTACATATATTGCGCGATAAGTCGATATATTGAGTATTGTATTTGAACTAGCACCTCGTGACTACACCACCTTTTGTACGAGAAGTTGCAAAAGACACGGGCGCAAGTGGAGTGTACAAAACATGGTGACATTAATTTTTAAGTAAATATAATGGGCGATATTGCGTCATCAAAATTTATTGAGGTCATGTACTGTACATATATTGCGCGATAAGTCGATATATTGAGTATTGCGACAGGCCTAGTCCTTGTAACAGCTGTGAGCATTGTACTGCCAGTCAGTGGATCTGTTTGTGGCTGACAAGCTTGACAGACTCTTTAGTGTCCACAGAGCTCACAGTGTAGCGTGACCAACAACACTGAAAGAAGGCCCTGCTGAATAACAATGAAGGTCTACGTGGCAGTGACGAACGTCACAAAGTTACGAGCTAGACTTAATAGCAACCTGCCAATGATGAGGATATATGCATGTTTTGAGTCAAATACAAACACTGGGTTCCTTTTGACCCATAAAACAAACATCCCTGATGGAGATACAAGCTTAAACCAGCCTAACGTGGTTTGCTGGTCTTATTTGGTCTCTCCACAAGTGTGCAGCTGGTCTACCAGCCTGAGATACTTACAAGTGCCTAAAGCTATCAAACCAGACCAGATTGAAGAGTTCGATGGCCCGCAAGATTAGCAAAACACATTAGGTTGGTTTAAGCTGTTTTCCTCATCAGAGACCTAATAAGATAATTAGATTTGAATTTCCTGAAACAAATAACACCACTTGCAAAGGGGCAGTGTTAGTAGTTTAAGCATCAGAGACGCATTGTTGTTGTCATGACACTTAGAATACATGTTATTTTCTATCAGCTGTGCAATTCACCATGAAATAAATCCAAGAAAATATGCATTTTAAAAAATGCATTATTACAATTATTATAAATGCATATATTACAATGACAATTACTCATATTTTGAAATGTGAACATTCTAACAAATGCCAAGTCAATGATAGATGTTCTTACTTTAATCTTAAATTTCTTTTAAGAATTTACTTTTAAGTAGGAAACAAAGTTTAAACAAAGTTTAAATGGAGCTGAATTAATTGCTTACTCTACAATTTCTCTCATATACTCACTATGTGAGTATTATGTGTATAGTCAGAATCCTGAAGGAATGCTAATAGAATTTCGTGCATAAGTTGAAACCAATATTATTGGGACAATTTAATCCTTTAATTGGTTAGGTCACCCAAAATGAAAATTCTGTCATCATTTACTCACTCTCATGTTGTTCCAAACTCGTATTTGATTACATCTTTTGTTCATGCAATGAAAGTGAATGTTGACTGAGGCTGTCATTTTGCCTTTTGTGGTACATGGAAAGAAGTAATACAGGTTTGGAACAACATTAGGTTAAAGAAATGATGACAAAATTTGAATTGTATGTGTTTTATATATATATATATATATATATATATATATATATATGTTAATTTCTATGATTCTCTAAGACAGATCAACTCTTGCTTAAACTGAAATTTCATTCCATTCCATTTTTCATAACTAAGCGTAATGTTGGTCGTACACAAGCAAATTCTGCTATGGATGTGCACTACCATTCAAAATTATATATTAACAAAAGTTATATATAAATCATTCATTTAAAGATCAGTGTCTCTTACAAGTAATAGTGTGGCCACTTGGTTCATATAATCATAGCCAAATCAAGACCACCTTTTGAAAGAACAGATTTTGAAAGAACTGTCCTTGGTCCTGAAAACAAGCAAAGCTCAACTGGCTATGAGCCAGACACAAAACAATGATGCTGTTAAAAGATAAAGGATGGTAATTAGTAAACCTGGGGCAGGTACAGGAATATATTGGATAAAATATGTGCAATAAAACGGCAAGAATCAAATAAGGTGATGTAG